GGGGAGGGAGGGAGAGAAAGGCAGAGAGGGAGGGAGAGAGAAAGAGAGGGAAGGAGGGATGGGGAGGGAGGGAGAGAAAGAGAGAAAGGCAGAGGGAGGGGGAGCAGGGAGGGAGAGAGAAAGAGTTCATTTTGTGACTGCGGGGTTCCACGCAAAAAAGTTGCAAAATCAGATCTAACAATCACCACATGCGACTGAAATGGGCAGAGTCCATTACAGTCGTATGTCAAGGACTATCTGTGATATAGATTTTTTATTATTATTATTTTGTAAGAAGCAATTTGAGTGCCCAGGGATGGGATAGTATACTCATTTTAAAAAACAAACAAACAAACAAAAAAACCCACCTAACTTATGTATGGAACAGTCTTGTGTAAAAAAAAATTAAGAAATCTTAATGGCTGCAAAACCCAACCCGTTCATCAGCCTATTTAAAATTATTCCATCCTTCCTTTTCTGTTTGACCTTGAACGGCCACTGTTTCTGGACCAGTCCCCTCGCTGGAGCTAAGAGGAGTAATTGGCTGCAAAAACCACTTCCTAAATCTGAAACGAAAGCTATCACCTGTGGTTCGGGGTTTTTTACAAAGTCACACTGTCAGGAAATGAAGAAACAGCATGAAGATAACTCAGAGCGCCACCGTGTTTATCAAAAAGCAGGTCACAACTACAACTAAAACTATATTGCTTCCTTACTATTTTAAAAGCAATTTTAAGCCTGTGTTTTCGTAAGGAGCCAAAGATGGCAAACGTCTCTTTTCTTTTTTCACGTTGCCTTCATCTTCACCTTAGTCTGATGGCTCTATTATTTATTTAGATGTTTACCTCCTGCCTTTATTAGTATTTTTACAAATGACTCAAGGCAGTGGACGTATCCAACACATTTTTCTCCTCCTATTTTCCCCATTAAAACAACCCTGTGAGGTAGGCTGGGCTGAGAGAGAAGGACTGGTCCAAGGTCACCCAGTTGGCTTTCATGCCTAAGGCAGAACTAGAACACAGCACCTCCTGGTGATTGGCCCAAAATCACCAGCTTTGGGGAAAGGAAAGGGAAGGGAAGGTATGGAAAGTAAAGGATGGGAAAGGAAAAGAAAGGAAAGAGAAAGAAAAGAAAGGAGAGAGGAAAGGAAAAGAAAGGAAGGAATGAGGGAGGGAGGAAGAACGGAAGGAGGGAGAGAGGGAGGAAGAAAGGAAGGAAGGAGGGAGAGAGGAAGGAACGAAGGAAGGAAGGAAGTGAGGGAAGGAAAGAAGGAATGGAGGAAGAAAGGAAGGAAGGAAGGAAGGAAGAAGGGAAGGAAGGAGGGAAGGAAGGAGGGAAGGAAGGAGGGGGAAGAAAGGAAGGAAGGAAGGGAGAGAGGAAGGAAGGAAGAAAGGAAGGGAGGGAGGAAGAAAGGAAGGAGGGAAGAAGGGAAGGAAGGAAGGAAGGAAGGAGGGAGGAAGAAAGGAAGGGAGGAAGAAAGGAAGGAAGGAAGAAAGGGAGGAAGAAAGGAAGTAGGGAAGGAAGGAAGGAAGGAGGGAGAGAGGGAGGGAAGGAAAGAAGGAAGGGAGGAAGAAAGGAACGAGGGAAGGAAGGAAGGAGAGAGGGAGGGAGGAAGGAAGGAAGGAAGGAAGGAAGAAAGGAAGGAAGGAAGGAAGGGTACTAATGCATGTTTTACATTATGGGAACTATGAGAAGGCGACAACATAGCCCAGAACTCACAGCCTCCTGGTTCCTAGCCTGGTTCCTTCGCCTCTAGCCCAAACTAGAAAAGTCGTAAAATGGGGCAAAACTCGCTTAACGACTGCCTCGCTTAGCAACAGAAATTTTGGGCTCCAGGACGTGGAACGTCCTCGATTTACAACCCACTCATTTAGCGACTGTTTCGAAGTTAGACCAGCCCTGAAAAATGCGGTTTACGACCACCGATCCTCGCATTTACACTCTCACAATCACACAATCCAAAATTGGCTTGGCCCTAGAGATGTATTCTCATTTCCCCTTACGAAATATGTCCTCTCCCTGGTGGTAACTTCCTTACATCCTTCCTGATTTCAAACCGCGCTATCGAAATAGAAGCTTTGGCAGATTAAAATCATTGAAAAAGGCCAGGTCGCTTGTGCCAATGTCAAAAATAGAACGCTTGGCCCTGGCAGATGCCTCCTCAACGGGACCACCTTTTCAAATCATCATCATCATCATCATAAAAAAAAAACACAAGAAAAAAAAATCCCAGCTCAGCAGCAATCAATGCTTGTTATCTCCGAACTGGATAAATTCCAGCAAACACAAGCCAGGCATCAGAAAAAAGCACCCGGTCCAGGAGACGAGAAAGCAGCTGTCTCCCCAACACATGGAAAGCATGTCCCATCACAAACCTTATTGCAAAAAAAGAAAGAATAAACAAAGAAAAAAATTAAAAGGAGGGAGGGAGAGAGAGAGAGAGAGAGAGAGAGAGAGGAAGAAAGAGAAAGAAAGAAAGAAAGAAAGAAAGAAAGAAAGAAAGAAAGAAAGAAAGAAAAAAAGAAAGAAAGAAAGAAAGAAAGAAAGAAAAGAAAGAGAGAGAGAGAGGAAGAAAGAGAAAGAAAGAGAGGAAGAAAGAGAAAGAGAGAGAGGAAGAAAGAAAGAAAGAAAGAGAGAGAGAGGAAGAAAGAGAAAGAGAGAGGAAGAAAGAAAGAGAGAGAGAGGAAGAAAGAGAAAGAGAGAAAGAGAGGAAAAAAGAAAGAAAGAGAGAGAGGAAGAAAGAGAAAAAGAGAGAGAGAGAGAGAGGAAGAAAGAGAAAGAAAGAGAGAGAGAGGAAGAAAGAGAAAGAAAGAGAGAGAGAGAGAGAGGAAGAAAGAGAAAGAAAGAGAGGAAGAAAGAGAAAGAAAGAGAGAGAGGAAGAAAGAGAAAGAGAGAGAGAGAAAAAAACACGTACAAACACACACGCACGGACAAGACCAATAGGTACACACTGTACACACACCGGGTGTGGCGTTCAGGAAAAACATTTCACAAGACCAAAGGGATCTGACTTCGGTAAACTAACGGGGGGGGGGGGGAGTAGGAAAGGTTCGGTGGATGGAAATCTTAAAAAGGGAAAAGAGGAGGATGGGGAAATTCTGAAAAAAAAAAAGAGATGATGAAGGATCAAACCACCCAAAACGCAAGAGAGAGGAAAA